AAGTGAAAGCCCTGAATTGTGCGCTTTATTCAGCGCAAAAAAAGCAAGAAAAGAAATGTTGAAACTCTTCTGTTGATTAATAAACCAACATCATCTGTTTTTCTTGCGTATACTTAACAGCAAACTGGGAACAAAATGTGAACAAGAGGTCCGCCGATAAAACAAATAATCTTTTTCACAAACCTCTTCTTTCATTTTTTTCAACTTCGTCCACCCCATCCCTATGTTTGGCTATCTTTTTTTGCCGACAAATTACATCTTAGCAAAATTCCTATCTGTTTCTTTTGACAGCTACTATTGAGAAAACAACAACTATGAATTTCTCCAATTTCCTCGCCATACCTGTCCATCCCGGTTCCTTCTCACCTCACTGTAATTATAGAATTATACAGAAAATTTGAAGGGTAAAGTTAGCAGTAGCAGCAGCAATGATAACAAATAAAACGAGCTGAACAGCAATGGTGAACAAATGATAGTACAGGTGAAGTGATAGAGGAACTGAAGAAAACTTTGAAAACATTAAAAATACGGGTAACTAAGTATATTCGTCAATGAAATATTCTTCTGTACTACTCTGAGAAATATATTTTAATCCTATAACCAGAAAAAAAAAAAAAAACAAATTTTTAATTTCTAAAGATAAACATTTTTTTTGTCACTCATAAGGCCTAAAATTAAATTTATTATCCATGCCTCAACCAATATTTTTTATCTCAATAGGAAAAAAAAGGAAAGCAACAATAAAACTTAGATACTGTTTCATCTCGATTAAAGCTTTTTGGTTTTTAAAATTGAACTTTTTACACTTCAAGACTACTGTTCCGTGTTGTCAGTAATCTGCAAAAAAAAAAAAAAAAATCAAAACAGTTTATCAAGTATGATATTCTTGTCTGTAGGATGATCCGGCAGTTGTCATCGTTGACCAACAAAACTGATCAATGCCAAGATACCCTGGTTTTTTACTCTTTTGTAACAACTAAGACTGTATTTAGGTGTAACCAGTAACTGTACTCTGACTTAAGTAATAGTCCAAAAAAAAAAAGAAAGAAATGTTAGCTTCGAAACAATCGAATATTACTGCAGAATATCAGTCTACCAGGTAACAGTAGCAAACATCAAAGTACTACTGTGTATGCTATCGTTGCATACATAATTAACATTCAAATACTGAATTATAGATGTATTAATTACCTTATTTTGCTGCAATTTGTTGAACACAATTTCTGCTGAACAACAAATCCGTTAGTGCTATTAATGTTGTCAAATAAGGCATTTATTTTGTTGCATAATAAAAATATAACCAACCAGTTAGTTTAGCTGACTGACTGCTTGTTGTTGTTGGGCCTAATTATGATGTCTATGTGTTGTGTGTATTTTTTACCTACTATAGATGTCAGTTTTTAAAAAAAAAAAATGTATAAGCATTACGATGTTGACGACTGAAATGAGATAATCAGTTAGCTAGCTAGCTAGTTAACTGATTATACATAGCATATAGCATATAAGAATCATAAACTCCACCAAAACATACACACATTCATTTTTGGGCGCTCTGTTATGTTGGTTTTCAAAATTTTTCGATAATATTAAATTGTTTGTGCTAAGACAGGGCGCAAAAAAAAAAA